CGAGGTCCCGTGCCCCTGCCAGCGAGTGGTAACTCTGGTGGGCTCAGGGTGCCCTCCCTGCCCTGGGGGGGTGGCCTGAGGCAGGGGTCCCCACCTGGCCCCCCCCGATGCCCCTTCCTTCTCCCCCCAGGGCTTCTCCATGCCGGGCCAGTACAGCGGGGTCTCTCCCGCGGAGGTGAGCTTGTCCCCATGGCAGCCCAGCCCTGCTCCCACTGGCACCAGGTCTGTGCCTGCCGGGACGGGCACTGCCAGGGATGCCTGTCTGGGAGGGTGCTGCGTGACAGCGTCCGGCCCCGAGAGGGGACAGGGGACCCTCTGCCATCACCCCTAACGCCTCCTTCCTCCTCCCGCTCTCCGGCAGGTGACGAAGCTGCAGCAGCTGTCAGGACACACGCTCCCCTTCGCCTCCCTGGGCCACCCACCCTCCATGGTGCCAGGTGAGTGTCTCCTGTGCCCCCCCCAGGGCTGGGGGTGTGGGGTGCCCCTCCTGACCCACCTAGCCACCTGGCCCTGGGGAGGGGGTCCCCATCCCCTGCACCCTCTCTGGTCCGGCCCCCCCGGCATGGCTACCTGCCCCCCGGCACTACCATGTTCTTGATTTCCTGGGGTCCCTGTACCTACCAGAGCCCCCCAACCCTGCAGTGGGGGAGCACCGGCACCAAATGACAACTGGTGCCCGTGTCCCGCCCTCCCTGCCTCTCCCCAGGGATCCTTCAGGTTTGTCACCAGGGCCGCTGACTGTCCCAGCACAGGGCTGGGGTGGGAGGGCACAGAGCTGCTGGAGACCTGCCCCACCGCTAACATCCCTGTCTCTCCTTCCAGGCCTGGACTCCAGCTCCCAGAGCAGTTCCCAGGAGTTCCTGGTGCCCAATGATGTACGTGTGGGTCCCGGGGATGGCAAGAGAGACCTCAGCTTGCCCTCACCCATGTGTCCCACCCTGCAGCCGCTTCACAGGGGCCAGCACCCCCCACCCCACACAGCTGCAGGCTCTGCCTCAGTCCCCAGAGCTCAGGAGCAGGAGGGGCTGCTGGGGCAGAAGCAGCTGGAAGGAAAAGGGAAACTGAGGCACAGCAGGGAGAAAGGGCTCGGCCAACGCCAAGGAAGAGCCTTAGGATGTGGCATCCCAGCAGTGCCAGCCCGGGGCGGGAGCTTGAGTGAGACCAAAAAGCAGGGTCTGCCCACAGAAAGCAGCACCCTGCCCTGCCGGTGTCTGCCTCAGTTTCCCCACGCCTCCCAGGCGCAGCGGGTGGCTGGCTGAGCCCTGGGAGCTCCATGCTTGGCACAGCTCCTCCGGCTGCTCCCAGCTCACCCCAGTCCCTGCCCCTCCAGCTCATCGGCTGCATCATCGGCCGGCATGGCAGCAAGATCAGTGAGATACGGCAGATGTCGGGCGCCCACATCAAGATCGGGAACCAGACCGAGGGCTCCAGCGAGCGGCACGTCACCATCACGGGGTCCCCTGTCAGCATCACTGTGGCTCAGTACCTCATCACAGCCTGGTAGGTGCCAGCCTGGGACTGGGGGGGGTACACACACGACACACTGGCTGCTAGCAAGGGGTGGCACCTTCCCAGCACCCCAACGCAGCTGGTGGGGCACACCAGCCCCAGCATCCTCAGGAAGGATGAGCTGGGTGTTACTTTGAGGTCCTGAGATGGTGGGTGCAGGACCCGGGACCCCGTGGGGTTTGAGCCCCAGCGTTTCAGCCCAGCGGGATGCCCAGGATGTGCCACGGAGACCTGTGCCTCAAGGGATGGGGCACGCGGTCCCTGCACCCGAAGACGGGCAGGTCAGGGTGGGTGGCCCGCTCTGTCACTGCGGTACTCACCGCCCCACCCTTCTCACTCGCTTCCCCAGCTTAGAGACGGCCAAATCTACCTCCCAGGTGCCGCCGGGCCCTGGCTCCGTAGACCTCGGCGTGGGCTTCTCCCAGCCCCTCGCCCCGGGCTCTGGCGCGGCGCTGCCTGCTGTCGCCCCGGCCCCCCCGGACCTGCCGGGCCCCCCCTACGC